TGTTTTCCTGTCTCTGTGGGGGTCATTGGGTTTTTATGCATCTCTGATGAGTTTCATATCCAACTTTTCTAGCATTTATAATGAAACCAATGTAGCCGTAATGAATGAATTAGATCAGCTGTTCAGACGGTTGAAGGTTTACAGTCTGAGCAGGTTTCCGTTGGTCTGATCTTTTTATCACTTTAACAGCCTCTTATATCTGTAGTTTGACTTCCCAGCTGAGCTTTTACTCCACTGTATCCTCTTCTTCCTGCCACTGGTGCTAGACGAAGGAGAATGAGCCTCTTATCTTCATGATTCACACAATGATTGAGAACTCGGCACCGAGGCCGCAACTCTACCAGCAAGTAAGGAATTTGGAAAGTTGGGCAGGAAGGCCGTCCCTCAGAGTTTTGCCTGGGTCTCAACATTCTGGGGGGGCTGTAGCTCCACGGCTACTGGCTTCATGGTTGGACATGGAGGCAGTGGAGCTGGAGGATGAAGCTTTGCATGAAAAGCTCTCTACAGAACCACCTGGAGGTTTGGGAGGATGTTCCCATAGAAACAATTGATCCTATAGACGGATTCAGTCTAAAAACTTAAGCTCTGCCTGGACCTGACCCTGCGTCTCTCCAGCAGCTCTCCATTTTCTCCTCCTGACTCAGAGTGGAGCGACTCCAGCCAAAACTTTGCAGCGGTTCCCCGGTTGTTGTGTTTCCACACCTCCCTCTCCACCTTGGCACTTCACCCATGGATGGAGTCAGAGATCCATCACCCACATACAGCATCCTGTCTGTGAGATGTCTGTGGCTCCTGGAAGGTGACCATTCTTCACAGACCCTCCATCTGTCCTCATTCACCAGGTTTTCTGCTTTTAGACCCACTCTGAAATGTTTAGACGTGTTTGTGTAAAAATACCTTTGGCTGCATGTTTCCTGGATCCATGCGTTCCCTGATCAAAGGTCTGGGAGGTTCGGATTGCTTTCAGACGTGCTCCCATGTGACGTCTGCTCCCGCTTCGGGACAGTCCAGGACGTCCAGGAGAGCGCGCCTGATGCCGCTTCCATCGCTGCCTGGTTTCACTGCTGAGTGGAAGTTAAACACGTATCATTCAGTCAGATGTTACCTCAGGGTTCATGTTGGTGGAAAAACAGCTCCTCCTCTGGTTTAGCTTCTCCATGCAGCGGTGAGCACGCCTCCCGTCTCTGTCATCTCATATCATGGCTGCCTGAGGTCTGCTGAGGCCTGTTTCCATGGAAACATCCTTTCAGCGTGGATCCATGGTCACTGAACGCTGCTGTTCATTTCTCCATGCCTGCTCCTCCTCATCTTTTTCTTTCTTTCTGTTCATGTGATATTCAGCAGAAATTCACTGTTTTCTCTGATTGCTGTTTCATCTCCTTTGGTTTTAGTTGTTGGGGCTGATTTCCGTTTATCTTCCTCCTTTAAGCAGATAATCAGCCATATTAGCAGCTGAAGCTGCAGTGAACTGTTGGTCCCCTGCAGACCGTAGGGATTGATGTGACGTTAGTGGCCCCTGCAGACCCAGTCTGAATATCCTCCTCTTTCAGGTGGACCCAGATGATCTCCCAGACCGCTCTCCGCTGCAGTCCACAGGCGAGGCTGATGTGGAGGTAGGGAAGCCTCTCTGTCTGCAACACAGAGCCCGTCTCTGTTGCACGGCTGATCTGTGTTTGTGTCTCAGACGAAGCTCAGCCGGCTGTGTGAGAAGGACAAGGTGCTGAGGATGCAGGAGGAGAAGCTGCAGCAGCTGCACAGGGAGAAGGTAGCAGAGCCCTCAGAGCGTCCGCCTGGAGAGCGCCCTCAGGTGTGCTAAGAAGGTTCTTGATGTTTGTCTGCAGCACACTTTGGAAGCGGCGCTGCAGTCGGCCAGCCAGGAGCTGGGAGAGCAGAGCAGCTCCACCACAGCGGCGGCGCAGAGCCTGGTCCAGCAGAGGGACGTCCTGCAGAGCGGCCTGCTCGGCACCTGCAGGGAGCTGAGCAGAGTCAGCGCTGTAAGCTGCCACTTTCTCTATCCTTCTGGGGACTCTCCATTGACTTCCATTCATATCTGACCCACTTCTAAAGCCTGACCATGATACCAACACTGAACCTGGGCCTGAACTCGATTCACACCTTAGTCCTAAACCTGAACCTGAGCCTAAAGCAGCATTGGTCCCCACAATGTCGGAATTTCCCACCCACACTCCCACTGACCCATCAGCCATAGACTGTTTCTCAGTACTTGGCCGTTCTCGCTCTGCTGTTCTTGTGAATCGGAACAACACTAGGGCTGAGGCTGATGACGGTTCATGAGGACACAAGAACCAAATATGGAGAAACAAAGTCCCAAGATGTTGTTCTGGCCCCTCCCTCGTCCCGTTGCAGGCCTTTTTAATTTAAAGAAAGCAGAATGCGGTTAAGTTATCACAAACATTGCATTCGATAATCACCTGCTAATCTGGGGTTCTTTCCACTGTCCTCTAATTAAAATCACTCAAACTTCTCCTAGCTAGCACATCATCCTTCTTCCTCCAAAGGGTCAAATGAGCACAAATATGCCCTCCACCCAAACATGCCCTCCGACCAAACATGTCCTCCACCCAAACATGTCCTCCACCCAAACATGTCCTCCGACCAAACATGTCCTCCGACCAAACATGTCCTCCGACCAAACATGTCCTCCACCGAACCTGATGTTTGCTGCTAACAAGCATCAGGTTCGTTAATGGAGATCCAGTCACCCTAAGACCTAAGAGCAGCCCAGACTGCTTAGAAAGTTGATGTGAGGAACCCAGCTGACTGCAGCAGCTATCCAAAGCTAAATGAGAGGTCCTGTCCACCATAGAGGTCAAAGGAGGACTTGTGTCTGTAGGGATCTCTTGCTCAGTACAGACGGACTGATTGGTGTTGTTCCCCAGGAGCTAGAACGGTCCTGGACGGAGTACGAGCAGCTGGAGGCAGACGTCTCTCTGGCCAGGACCAACCTGCTGGAGCAGCTGGAGGCTCTGGGCAGCCCGCAGGTAGCAGACCGATCCAGAACCCACCCAGAACCAGGGTCTGCAGCTCCATCTTTACCCACATCGGTCTCTCTGTCTGTGTCCCTCAGACAGAACCTCCAAGCCAGCAGCACATCCAGATCCAGAAGGAGCTGTGGAGGATCCAGGATGTGATGGAGGCTCTGACCAGAACCAAAGCTCAGCAGAGACCAGAGATAGGTGAGAATGAAGCAGGTCCCATCTAGAACTGGACTCCAGGGTTTCCTGACAGCAGGACTGGACCGCTCCGGTTTAGGACACCACCACATCAGAGAATGTTTAGCTGCTTCTCTCCAGATGATTGTCCTCTCCTTGTTTGTTCATCAGGGTTTCCAGGATCCAGACCTCTCTCCAGTCAGCAGAAGAACGAGGTAAAGCTGGACTCTCTATCCTCCTCTATGTTAACTAACATCTGCTCTGAGACTGAAGCTCATTTCCTGACCTCCATATCCATATCTGTTGGAGCTTTAGCTGATCTTATAGTTGCTGATCCTGATGGTTCTCAGTGTCCCTTAATCCAGGAGCCTCAAAGTTGATGATGATGATGGTGATGATGATGATGATGATGATGATGATGATGATGATGATGATTTGGGCTCACAGGTGAAGCAAACCCAAAACTCAGAGCCCCAGAGATCAGAGTATTACAGTAGCAACCATTCAAAATTTTCCCACTTTCCTTGGCTGGTCCTTCTCCGGTCCTTGGCTTGTCCTTGGCTGGTCCTTCTCTGGTCCTTGGCTTGTCCTTGGCTTGTCCTTGGCTGGTCCTTCTCTGGTCCTTGGCTGGTCCTTGGCTTGTCCTTGGCTGGTCCTTCTCTGGTCCTTGGCTTGTCCTTGGCTGGTCCTTCTCTGGTCCTTGGCT